TACTTTTCTCTTCCAACCCGCTTGGAGATTGTTAAACACCACCAAAAACACATATATTCGACAAATGATTTCGTTCTACGCCCCAATCAATATCCTGGATACTTCATAAACATTTACACTTGTACTTGTCGGAAAACTACTGAACTTATGAAGGAGTACAGAGCTGTACGCTAAAGTCGACATTTGTAATTTACTGCTTTTGTGTTTGTCACAATACATCCTGCTATAGACACCTCTAGACCGTACTTTAATTATTGATCCCGATGTTTTAGCCGTAACGCAGCTTCCACTCAGTGCGCTGACTTTCACATTGAGCACTCAAGTTTTATTAGCATCATTTATATTCTTATGTACGATTTTATCACCTTATCACTATGATCAGCGTGTCTTGCAGCATACCAACCTAAATGAGTAACTTGTTGCGGCTAATTCTGTGTCAGTTGTAACACTGATCTTGCCTGTAATTTGGCGTGCATCGTGTAGCGTATTATTATTTCAGAGCAAGTGATGATTATTATTACTGAACAGGGTTAACTAGTTTGGTGTATTTTAAGGCAAAAGTTTTCAAGTAACAACCTCTAATATTTCATTCACAGACACCGAAAAACTGCAAGGATTACTATACAGACATCATCCTTGAGTTTGGTGGTTTTTAAATCTCAGAGTTGGGATTGCTTCTTGTCTTCTATTTAGCCGACTAAAATGTTAATTATTGTGTACGGTTTTTTGAGCTCATAAAATTCAGTCTAGAGTCATCCGTAAAATGCCCATGACGCTGGCTGTTTAGTTGATATCATTCAGTGATTACCTCAGTGAAAGTCTTATAGATTCTGTTGTTACAGTAAGTAATTAGCATAGATGCTATCAGAAGACAGCGTTGTATAAGATAAAACGATTATGTTGCAGCAATAAGTTCGTATCACACGCGACTGTCGGACAGTGCCGGCATCCGCGAAACAACTAAGATGAATATTTTACCGCTGACAGTTGTTGCGGAGAACAATAAAAAGCCGATTTTCCCGTTCCATTTAATCGTTTGAGTTGATTTTTGTCATTGTTATCCGCAACAATATGGAAGCCAGATATCTGTGGTGAAATGAAGACTTTTTGAGTGCCTGAACTATGATTCTGCATTCCAAGTTGTGAACAGTAGTTCATCTGATTCATCAAAGGTACTGACTAATATTTGAGTGCCCAAAGTACCCAAACACTGGTAAGTGAGCATTTCTTCGAAACTCACTAAAATACAATAATTACAACTTATCCAAAAACCGAAACAAAACTTCTTTGGTTTCAGCACTGTTACTGGGTGTCAAAATATGACATGAATTAATCTAACATCTTATAGTAAATAGTAATTCACAGAGCTGTCTAATACACGCCCGCGCACTCACGAGTGGACCAGCATTCATTTCAAAGAGACATATGTAAAAACACGCAAAGGCACCGTACTTTGTAACTTAAACCAAAAGCAGAGTGACATACAAAGCAATAACTAGTTGTGATATGTAACAAAACCACCCCGGGTTAGATGAAAATTTTAATGCCTCTGCTCCTCTGTGCGTCTTCTTTGTTGGTTAATCGAAACTCTGCATGACTTAGTATTATCTACAATACATTAAAATTCACACCACCAAACGATCGGGTTCACTAGCTTTCTGTAATTATAGTCGACCAACCTGTCGACGTCGCCAACTAAAATCAGTAGCATCTACAATTCGCATCTTAGATTCTTCAGCATTGTTCATCACAATTTAAGGGCGCTCTCGCATTTCTGTACTGTAGTAGGAATGTCTACTGCCCTTTCTGGTCCGTCGAACTTTGCAGGAACAATGTGATTGAAGTCAGTTCCGAAGAATTTTAGCAAAACGTTTTGCCTCAAGCATAGATCAGGCCACTTATAAAAAACCGAGAATAACAGCTGAGAGATATGTGCCGAGAAATGGATCACACTAATCAAGAAGAACTGTATTCCAGGTTGTAAGCGATACCAGCGTCGGAGTCCTCTTGGAAGGATGGATTCTCGAATCATTACATTTTTGTCGATTTTCAGCTACGTAACATATAGCTGCGTTTATTATTTTATTGTTGGTAAGCCAACACAGTGTGCATGAGAGTATAAAGTTGATGAAAAAAGACAAGAAGGAACTCATATCAACTTGGTGCTGATGTCATCTTGTGCTATTCCAACCGTGTGGTAGGTTACAGGCTCCATAGATGCAAGAAGACTGGTAGTGGGTGGTCGATTATGCAGTCCTCTTGACATTTTTTAAGGTATTAGTGAACATCCCTTAGCGATCGACTGTAGTTGAGCAGCATCCAGAGGTACAGTGAGTTACATGTCTACTTCAATTTAAAATTAAAAAACACATATTCAATACAAGTGCTACGAAGAACGTTAGGGAAAAATGAACCCACAGTCTAATTTGGTCTATACAATGAGATGGCCTTTGATGTCTGAGTGAGACGCAGATGTGTTCGATCGTGCCAGATCCGTGCAAGTGAGGGCTTGATCAACGAGTCTTACAAATGTATGTAGTCTGTCTGCCATGTGTATTTCAGAGGGAAAACTGTTCCATATTAATGCATCCTTGATGAGAAAGAAGTCTTCCGGAGTTTTTGATCTGTATTTTTTGACTTCGGCCGTACATACCATGTCTCGAACGCAGTATTCATGTGAACTTTGGACAAAAACTTGAAGAGCGTCGTTTGATCTGACTCCATTTAGAGTGTAAAAATGTTTGTTATCGCTGATTCTCGTATATCATCGTCGACTTAAATCGCGTTAGTCAATAACGGAATTAAATAAGTCGAATAACGAGAATTGATTTGTGAATACATATATTTTGCATATGAAGTGAATGAAACAGAGCCAAGCAAAATGACGCACAGGGAGGATGGCTGGGAAGCCAACTCCATTTTAATTAAGCGTTACTCAATATTTATAGGCAGACAAAATAAACTACAGACATGTGATGAGTCATGGGACATGAAGTGTACACACACATACGCTCATATGAAAACAGTCAAGGCTAATAAGCGAATAATTAACAAGGTCAAAACATGACTCAGGTAGAATGAATATAATGGAATGTCCGGAAACTAGAATAAGATATATTATGGGCTAAAACTAATGACTAACGCTACAAACTATATTACATGTGGAGCAACTAAGGTTTTTGAAAGGTTTAAAGTAGCGAACGAAATTGGACCTAAGCCATTTTCAATAGGGGTCTGAGTCCTAGAATATGGCATCGAGAGTTGTAGTCACTGAGTGAGTTGGTCTTAATTATTTTGCGGGTTAAATCATGTTGTGTTCCTTCTGTAGCGTGGAGTCGAGTCCCAGTTGACTATGAACACCGCCACCAAGAAACACGTGCCAAATAAATCAGAAGGCGGATTGGAATCAAGTTCATTCAATTGGCGATCTCGTGGTATCGAACGAATACCAAGATCGTGCCAAGGAATGGTACAAGCGAAAGCAGGAGAACGGGGTACGTGCGAACAAAGTCAAAAACCGCGGAAAAATGATGGAAAGTAATGGAAGCACAAAATGACTGTAACTAGCACAGTTAAACAAAAGCACATTAAAACAAGTACTGAAACAGTTGGTTGTAATAATAATTGTTTTCATTAAACTAATCGTGTTCTCGTGATATAAGTAAGTCACTACACTTTAACCCTCAGTATATCGTATAGGTGTACGCTAGAAAGTAAGAACGAGCAGTATTCAACGGTAGGTGTTACATATACGTCGTAAAGAATGATTTTAGATTCATCTTGAAAGAAATTACGAAGAATGAAGCCCGAAAGTTTCCTCATTTTAGATGCTTTGGTGAAATTTGTTCAGAGAACTTAAGACTGTATGAGTAATATACCCCTAGGTTAGTTACTGGTGTGAGTTGTAGCTGCTATAATTGATTGTAATATAAGCTTCTGAATGTTGCTATTCAGTGGAGAAAACTAACAAGAAAGTATTTTAAGAGATATTTGCTTGACTTATTATATCTACTAAACCTCTTTACTGGCCGTCCTTTGGGTTTGATGATTCAATCGGCTTCAAGTTTTGTATAGGCGACTGCAAATCGAGGATAATCATATTCATCGCAATGGAAGCCAGCGGAGTTGGACTTCAAAATATATCTTTAAGACAAATTCAAGTGTCAAGTGAAAAGCAAAGTGAAACCAAAATCTCTGAAAACAGTGTTATGAACAAACAAGTTCAAAATTTGATTTAAACAAATGCATCCAAAAGAAAGTGAAATTATTGATAGTTCTTAAATTAAAGGGAGTTTAACGGAAACAATAGCTAAGTCGTTGCATTTCAAATAATGAAGATAAGTGATACAAATTCAAATCCTACAATGAGTATAACTGACTAGTGCCAGTCATCAAGAAGACTAAAATATCACGGTTTCCTGTAAAACAAAAATTTACTATGAACCACATGATAAGAACTATTGGTTCTATTCATTTTACTACATATGAAAATTGACCTAATCTTAGTACTACTAGAGACAAAATAAACAAGTTCATTTTATAAACTTTTGCAAACAAAATTCTTTTTGTAATTAATTAGTTGTTCTTAGTCTTTGTTTCATTTCATTTTCAAGGTTGAGATTGCCGAAGGAATGGTTAAACTATTCCAAAAATTAGGAATGTACAGGATTTTAAAAATGTTAATTAAAATCACTATATATATATATATATATATATATATATATATATATATATATATATATATATATATATATATATATATATATATATATATATATATATAGATATAGATATAGATATATAGATATAGATATAGATATAGATATATAGATATAGATAGATAGATAGATAGATAGATAGATAGTCATAACTGTGTATTTGTATGTATACATATATGCATGTGTCTGAGTATGTGTAGGAGGTCATAGTATCTTGAGTAGTATATACGTATGAAATCATACGTAAATAAGTATATATATATACCATAAAAGTCAACTTACATAACTATTCCTATACATATATAGCGAATAATTTCAGACGTGTATAATGATAGTACAGATAACCAAATATTAAGATTATTGAACATTTGTTGTTATCAGAAGTAGTAACATTATCAAGCAATATCAAGGATTATTGATTACATTGAGAGAAATATATATTTACAAATTTGATTGAAATTACTTAGTGAGTATTTATTTCCTTCATTAACCCTGTGTTTCTTTCAATTAGTTTATATCTATAGTATTTTGAATTAAAATTGATTCCAAGGATAAGACTATATTGTGTATATTAAAATGCTAACTGTAAATTTATCTCCTATCTAAAAACGTATAGCTTAAATCTTTAGATGATTTTTTGTTATGAGTTGATACAAGTCTAGAGAAATAAACAACTGTCCCCATTATAGGATCTCACTCTCGTTTTAGCTAATGGTCGTAACCAGTACTTGCATGTCACACAGCGAACGTTGAGTCTTTCTCATCATTTACTATATTATTTCAATAAATTTTGTAATTTTTACTATTATGTTCCGCTTGTCGTGCTAATGAGCTATGAAAGCTTGGGCTAACGTACAACTGTGCCGGGTTCTACATATCGGTAACCTCCATCAATGTCTGTCACAATTGAGCTCAGTCATATAATGAGTTTAATTAGTTTTAGATAGTAATTTGATTTTTATTTTTTAAGATGAAACACTAAATACATTTATTCATTTAATGAATATAGAAAATGAATGATTATTAACCAAATAACTTTCAAACATATCTGACAAGCTTCTGTGGTAATTAATTGTGATTCTGACTTATTTCGCAAACTATTATTTGAAATCACTTTCATTACACAATATTTTCTATTAAGGTTTATTAAGTAGAGTAGATTTTTTCAAGTACCATAACACAGTGTGGAAAGATGTAGAATGCGAATTTAGTTAGTATTTAATCCGCTTACTTATCTGGCTCAGTAGTTTATTGGTTAAATGCTCGCGCGCGAGACCAGTAGGCCCTGGGTTCGAATCCCGAGAGGCGGGGTCGCGGTTGCGCACTGCTGAGGAGTCCCACAATAGGACGAAACGACTGTCCAGTTCTCTCGGATTTTCCATGGTGGTCTAGCTTCAATTGACTCATGACCTCAACAATTGAAATTATAAATGGGTTACTGTCATTTAAAAAACTTCAGATCATCATGATGCATTATTATCTCTTCAATATAAAGGTATAAATTAACCTATCTTCTGAGATTACAAAATGAACGGCATGTGAGAAACATCATCATAGAATCGTTTAAGAGTACTGAAAACTGGTTTTATACTAAACCATGTAAGTGTCACATAAAAAGATGAAAAACTCACTGAATTTCCAGCCACATTCAATTGATGTGCTAAAATCAAAATGAGATCAGGTTTTCAATTTTTTCGTTAATCAATACTAAACGTTGTACTATTAAAATTAAGTCTCATTTTCTCTTATAACTAATAAAGAACATAAACCAACAATGAAGAGTCAATGAACAAATCAATCTATCATTAACATTCTTTGAATTATCCCCAAATCTGAGATAACATTAATGTAATATGTCAATGATCATTTGATCACGAACTTTAAATGAATAATTTATCATCTACTAAATTTTGTCAGTTAATGAGAGCAATGTTTAGCGTAAACCTAAAAAAAATCTTATGAATATGAATATCATTTGTTCTTTTTTTCATAAACTTCATTGTGATGTTACAAATAAGCCAGTAAGTTCATTACTTTAAGAAGGTACTAATTCTGATGGTATAGTTTGTTTCAATTTGAGCATATTTCGATAAAGTCATATCATTTTACAATTTAATAGTTCGAGATTATGAATTCATTAATTTCAAAGTAATAGTCATTCATACGTATCTGATTTAGTCTCAGAGATACTGATAAAAGAAACTATAATTGTTTGTTGTCGATGTATTATTTTAGCCATGATACACTATCTATAAGAAAAGATGAAATACACCTGAAAAAAAAGGAATGATTTATTCTGGATCACTTTTTAACTTAGTTCAACGACTGGATCATTTGATCAATTAACTTCATGTAATAATTATGATTAGATCGAAAACTAATACCTGAATTTGTTGTTAATGCGCGAAATGTAATCAGAATTATCCGATTGACTTCAGTGATAAGGCGATAGGACTTTGAATTATTCGTTTCAATACATTGTTTTGTTTATAATTTTCACGTTTACCTTCATGATATTTTATGCTGTTAAGAGTCAATTTTTGACAAATATACATAAAACTAAAGGTCTACTACTTTTTATGATGTTGAAAATTGGGTAATTGATTAAGAATATGGAAGGAATATGGCCAAAATTTGTATCTAAGAAAACAGATGACCACTATTCAATCAGACTACATTAATAGTACTGATGTACGTATGAATATAGAATATCTTGAATATTTTTAGGCATATATAATGTTCTTTAGCGAATACTAAGTAGCATAGAATATCTATCTTGAATTCCATTGCAAGTAAATATTCACTATTAGTACAATTATATCAAACAGTTTACTTAGAATTATAGTAATGACGATAATGAATGATGACTATTAATGGTAAATAATCTTTTATCAAGATTTATTGATAATAAACTGTAACTTGAAGTCAAAACAGTCGAAAATTATCCATCATATTTTGACGTTAACGTTTTAATATATGATATTCAACTTTGATTATAGCAACAAAAATTTCAATAGTTGAACTCATGAGTCGGTCTAAGCTAGACCACCGTTAAAAACCTGGAAGTACTGGACAGCGAAATCGTCATTGTGTTGGATTCCTAAGCAGTGCACATCCACGATCCCACATGCGGGATTCGAACACAGAACCTTCGATCCCGTGTGTAAATGCTTAGCCTCTGGACCGTTGAGCCGGCATCCAACGGTGTAAATGTCTAGCTTCAATCGATCTATGATCTTGCTCAACCATTCATCTACTGTCTGAGGTAGATACCTATCTCTACCCACATGCGGGATTGTGGATGTACACTGATAAGGATTCATATACTAAGACGAAACGACCTTTCAGTGCTCCCACGTTTTAAATGATGATCTAGCTTAGATTGACTTATGTATTGAACTATTAAAATTACTACAATCTTCACAAACCACCATTCTGATAATAAAACAAAAATAGTCAGTTTATGATATTTTCTATTTTGATTTGAATGATTCCATAAGGTAAAATCGTCTTAGAAATAAGCATAATCAATTCAATTCAGTTAAAATATATGGAAAGTAGTTGGTGTTATTCTTTCATTGAATAAAAATTTTCTACATGAACTAACTATTATGAATATACTTGTAACTAAACAGTTGATGATACTCAGTTAATTATATAATATACCATTGTGGGCCAGGGAAATTTTACATTGGTTTTCAGGAGAACCAGACACCATCCCAACTTTCACGTAAAAACCGAAATAGTACAACTCAACCCTGTTTAGCAGGGGAACCAGACACCGTATAGGCTTTAACGTCACAATATGAATAGTACAGCTCAATCCTGTGCCACAACCACACAGGTACCAAGCACCCTGGTGAACCATTCGCACCATTCATATACACATCCACATCACATGTATAGTTATTCCGATCAATGATCGCATGAATCAGTTATGCGCAACACGAACAGGTCAAAATTTATCTATTCCACTTACACGACAGTCAAACTCATTAATGTTAGCAATGGCGACATGCCTTACAATGTCCCAATGACAATAGTCCTTGAGAACACTGAAAAGCGATCACTAGTATGAATGAAATCGGTTAACCAGCAAACCAATTCTGTGCATGAACAGTCAACAAAACTTTCCAAAGCAATGCTGAACCATCTACAATACCAATGACGAACCTCCAGTCTTATATGAGACCTTCACCTCTATATAGCCATATAGATGATACTCAAGTGGTTAAATATTCAGCAACTTTTTTCTAAAAATAGAAAGTTATTCACTTAGACTTTTTGATTTAATTATCTTTGATATCTATCAAAAGTGTAATGGTAAACACATAATTAAATAAACAAATTTATTTACTTTCTGAGTTGAAAGTATGATAAACAATGTTTGATATTTCTAAGATATGTATAACCAATTAGTCTTATTTAGCTTAAAGGTTATTAAATAATGAAGCGAAATTCATTAAAAGAACAAATTTGTTTTTAATATACTATCCTTAATTAATATAATATTTATATCAGATTGGTTTTTGTGGAGATTGTAGTAATTTCAATGGTTAAGATCATGAGTCAGTTGAAGCTATTTATTAAGTCAATGCCAAAATAACATTCACTTCTTGTACTGATGTTATCACCATCGTTAATACTTTATTTCTAGGAAATAAATAAGCACATTATTTGGTAAATCTGCTATCTATTTTGTTTGTAACAGTTGTATGTTATGTTCTTCGTAGATTGATCTCAGTTGATGAGTAACCGATGAAAAATAAAGACACAATGTATAGCTCTTCCGTTGTAGTATGGAGTTCTTTAACTGGTTTAATCACTAACCCATCAGAGATCAAAATTAGTTCTTTAAGGTGTAGTATCAATATCTCAAACATTACAGTCATTATTGAAGTGTTCAGTAGAATAATTTTAAGCTTGATCAATTTGTGGTATAGCTTGATGATCATCCAATCCCAAATTATAGTAAAAGGTTTCACTCCCGACATATTTGAACTTCACCACTCACAACCTATCATTAGAAATGCAAGAATATCATAAACTAGATAACTTGTTTATTCGATAGGATTTTGTGTAAATTAATTTGTTGTTTTTGTTTATATATGCCAAAGACTGTTTATTAAAGATTGATGCGAAACAATAGTTGATTTTAACAGAAAACTAACTCTTTAAAAACTATCCATTTTAGTGGATTACAATTTATGTTAACTTCATAGATACAAGAATAATAGTTTGATTTCTACATCTTCCATATTGAATAAGTCCTAAAACTTTTAAATAATAGAATTATCAATTCAAAAATGATATATTTTTTCAATCTACCAAAACTGTTTATATCCAATGAATTAATTATAAGGTCAAAAAAGCGGAATGTATCTATATAATATTATACGTTTTTCGTGGAGATGTACCACAAGTAACCGTTCCTTCACCTCTTCTTTTCTGCATAATCTGCCGTCT